ATCTCACCTGGCTTGTGTTAACATTTCCCACCTTAATAACCGCTTTAATGTGGACCATCTTTTAACAGGCTTTTATGAATAGCGGTCAATGACAACAAGTATAATTTGAATGAACCTTAACTTACCTGAACATAAAGATGTATCTACTGTATGCAAATTGAAATTGAGCAAATTATATCCACTATCAAACATCCATGATGTATCACGTCTGGTTCAGAATTGAAGAAAAAAAATAAAACATCCTTTCAGTTCTCTTATAGGCATTGTAAAAATTAATGACCATGTCCAGTTTACAGATCCGTGACGTTCCGGAATTTTTTTTCCCACCAGTAGGGCAGGTTTTTAGGTCTGACGAGGTCGCAAATTATATTTTTGTTTGTATGGCTAACAAAGAAAATATGTTTTATTGTGCGCTTTACACCTCGAAACAAAATGGAAAAAATATCGCTACATGCTTCGTTGAACAAGTTGAACAGGTGGAAAATGAGTTGAAGGCATATTGATAGACGATGGTGAATCACAGCTTTCTTTTCTCTAGTGCTCTAATTTTTCTTCAATGTTGTATTTCCAAAGACATTCTAATGTTTATGCTCCCACATCAGTCTGTGTCAGGCATAAGTCATTTGAATAAATCTACATTTATTTAATATTTCAGACTTCACTTCATCAAGTTATTTCAGACTTGTCATGCAAGGGATAAAAAGGAATATATCTTGAGAGTACTATTTGAAAACCGATGGGTCTGGAAGTATTGATTAATACCGATTATTGACTTTCTTTAAATTTATATTTATATGGAAGACATTAGAAGACAACTGTTACAGTCCAACTAAGACTGTAGGGCATGCTTGAAAGCATCTTCTAATCTGTCCTGACTAAAATGTGCAATGTTTTTCAATTTCTGAATTCGTCGTTGAAAAACTTGCTTGCTGGCAATAGTGTAGACATGTTTTATAAATTTTAAATGTCTACTCCGGTTAATAATAGCACGTAATGATTTTATTATTTGACACGTACTTCTCATTATCCTATCGATAAGCGTAACGATTTGCTTTAGTATCAAATAGCAAATATAACAAATGACAAGTATGGTTTTTCTGAAAATTGCATTACAATGTATATTCATCGTTAAGAAAAATGTTGTATAATATACAACAATGGGCAAATAATTGTTTCCAGACCAATGATTTAAGTGAGAAAAACTGACGTTTAAAATTGAAGCTGTTGCCGCTTGTATATACATGAACTTGAAATAATAATTAGCCTTGAAAGAAAGTGTCGCAATATATCATGTGTGAGTGAGCTTAAAGTTAATGGTGTAGGTTTGTTTGAGACTATAGGTGAAATATATGGGTGAAACATTTATTATTGAAATATATTTAATCAGGATAACAAGTATCAGATACATTGTAAATACAAAATCTGTTTTACATCCTGGTCCTAAACAGAATAAAAATGTAATATACGGATATATAAAAATTGAAAATCACGAAAGCTCACAAGCAAAGGTAAAAATAGTATCAAACTAATGTATACCAATAATACGCATTAGAAGTAGTAAAAAGCAAAAAAAAACTATTATCTCAAATTAACAGCGAAAAAACATCAAATCACATTAAAATATCACCAAAAAAATAGAAGAGGAGAAAAGGTATAAGAAAATTGGTAGGAAGTAGAGAAGGAAAGAGAGAAAGAAAGAGAGAAAGAGAGAGGGAGGGAGGGAGAGAGAGAGAGAGAGAGAGAGCGCGCGAGCGAGAAATAAGCCATGTCAAGAGCAGTATTATGAATAGGCATTGTATCACAAAGGTTTCAAAAATGTGTCCTTGTACATAATTTACGTTTAAAGACACTGATAGATTTAGTACTTTGAAGAGCAAAGGGTAAATTATTCCAGATTTTACCACCAGCGTATTAATTCTTAAAATATTAAAGAGTAGGCTTGAGTAAAACAACATTCAAAACCATGTCTGTTAAAAACCATTTCCTCGCACAATCGTACCGATATGGTTATTTCTGATTTCGAAAAGGGTCATTTCGAAATATAGGCCTATTCTCCCCCCCCCCCCCCCCCTCCCCCCTCCTCCCCTCCTCCTCCTCTCCTTTTCTCTCTCTCTTTCTCTCTCTCTCTCTATACATATTATATGCAAACAAATTATTTTAAGCAATTAGCGTGGTATAGAAATTCTTACAAAGATCATCATATTTTCCATCATCCAATATTTCACGTTTCTGTGAGTCCCTTTCCATTAACGGTACCACGTTGCTGCGTTAAATTCAAAAGGGGAATGTGTGTACTCATCAGGCGCAAAGAGGTCTTGATAAAAAAAAAACTGTAATGGTACTATACAGAAAATGCGGCGGCACGATAACGGCTATAACTAATAAAACCTAGAAATTTTCCTAATGGGTTATATTGTTATCTCGAAGCACAACTCGGGGGACATTTAAACTGCGTGAAAAGGAAATGTCGGTTCATTAATTATTGAAGATTTGATTAGAGACGATGCTTTTTACACCGTTTGCGCTTTTAATAAAAAAAGAATCTCTCAGTAAATTCTCCGATGCAAAAGTTATATTTGCAACATGACCGTATCACTGATTTTTCAGCGATTCGAGTGATATGTATTTAAAGAAAATTAGAAAGCAGAATAATTATTTCCTATCATCGAATTTACATTCCATACAATCGTGCCTTATTTTAGGTACATGAGTTGGAAAAAGAACATGTCCGTTATGAAGCATTTCAGAATAAACTCGAACTAGGAATGGCGGTCAGATGTGCTTTTATTTGTATAGGCCGAAACACATTCTAATAATATATACATGCATGCTTATACATAAATAATTTTTGGAGTGGCGGGAACTTAAAGATACTATGTCCCTTTTGCAGTCAACATCAAATTTTGTAGAACTTTGCAGGAATTATGAATATGTCATGTGTGTCCTATCTGTGTAATGTAAACGTTAGCAGTGTCCTAATATTCAAATTATGCAAGGAAATCCGTTTATTTGCTAGAATTTACTGTCAGACACTATTGAGTGACTGACTGGCTTTTTTGTTTCATCTTTGATAATAACATACATAAAATGAGCTGTAAAGGGTACATGAACATTTGTCTACATCAATAACCCACTTCTTGTGATGGCAAAAATTAAATTGATCGAATCTTCGCGAGGCATCACGTACGACCATTCGGTACAATGGTCTGAATATCAAACTATTACTAACTGGCCCTATAGCTCCTACGTCGATTCGACAAATAATAGTCATTATTTTTCCATTTAAAGACATTTTCAAGCCCCCCCCCCCCCCTTTTTTTTAAAGGAAGTTCTAAATTAATATTTTCTTTCAAATGAGGTTGGAATGTAACCTTTTCATTTTGTTGGCCTGCAAATGGGACATAGTACCTTTAAAGGACATTCGACAATCAACGAAATGCTACAACAATACCAGGCAATGACAAAAATTGCACTGATGAAATAAAGACATAAATTTCCACAAAGCTTTTACGAATCATTTTTTTCACTATATACCTTTATACGTAATTACAGTAAAACGTTTTATTTTTGCCTTCTCCCTAGAAAACTGCAGTTCTCTTTCCTTCTCTGTCAACCATTTTATAAGAATGTCGGGAATTGAATCACTTAAAGGATTTGTATACACTGTGTTTCAGGATTTAAAAAAGGGAAGTTCTAGAGCTGTCATCATGGCGTTCTAGTACTTCGAGGAATTAATTCCTGCCAGGTACCTATTTATCTTCCCTGGGTCTAGTGTGGCAATGATAGATTCATGTCTTGCTAAAGGACATTAGTGCCGCAGCGGGACTCGATCAAGCCGCGAGCCACTGATCTACAGTCCGGTGGCATATCCACTAGACCACGACACGTCCAAAAATGTTGTGTTCCGTTCTTTCTGAAGAAAGCACTTCCACTTTCTGAAGAAAGCACTTCCACAAGACAAAGAACTTTCCCCATTATAGAGGTGCCTAAATATATTTTGGTCTTTGTGTATCAAGTAAAATTCATTCACTCGCTGATTATTATTACTTTTATTTTATGTTTCATATATAGGTTGAAGCAGACCAACATAAAAACCTGGTTTCCATAGAGGTCAAACAAAATAGACACACCTCCAAAAATGTGACAATTATATATACATTCCATTCTATAAAAAAAAAAAAACACCACACAACCTGAGAAACAAATATTTTCAGCTTACACAATTCTTGAAAAATAGTTAGAAAATTATCACATATTAAGTCCACGTGTTGGCATAAAATGACGACAAAAATTGATGAAATCCAAAAGTTTTCATTAGGTCAGAAATTACAAAAATTATCGACGTACGTAACTCAACGTCTTTATCAAGGGTTTGTACTGTTGGGTTTAAAGCATGCCATTTTTTCCTTCATCATGATCTATCTATATAGGCTTTCTATTATGTTAATTCATCCACGTATTGGCAATGTTCTACGGTACAGAAGAAAATGCATGTCATGCCAACAATGTAATTTTATTCATACGATTATTTGTGTATGATTTTATATAGTTTTAAAAAAAAAACTACCCCGAAAAAATGTAAGAGATAATCAAAATGATGCTTCATATCGTGTCTGAATTGTCTTGTTTTGACGACCCATCATAATTATTCCCAAGCCTCTGAATTATGTAAACTGAAACATTACAGTTTTCACGTAATACAGAAAGGAAATATTTCAGTTTTTAATCTGAATCTGAGTGTTTTACAAGTTATATACCGATATAATATGCCTTATAAGTGCATCTGTTGTTTCAAAAGTAATTATATGATAATTTCCTCTTTTTTCTTATAGAGTTCGCCTTTGGTAAGAATAAAACGAAATAACAGCCCCAAACATAAAATAGATAAAAACTACACATGCATATAAACAGGTATCCTCATGAAATAACTGATCATTTAAGAATTATCCTTGATCATTTACAAGAAATATGTGAATGGAACTGTACACTTTTTAGGTGATTTATTTAACGGATGTCCTGCAGAAAATTTTACGGAAAGCTTTTCTGAATTCACTTCTTCCAAAGGCATACACAAACATATTGATGCTGCAGTTGGAGGCCGACATGACGGCCGTTATCCACCACGTTATATTACCAAAGGTGGCTCCGGTTGCGGACGCGAAGGTAAACATTACCGTAAGAGGCAGCCAAGACACAAGGAAACATCCGGTTATGACGAGGGGTATACGCAGACTGCGGATGTTTCGCTGAATCCCGTCATAATCGCGTTTGGCTCTACGGACCCGGTCCCGTTTTCGGTGCGCCGTACTGTTCAAGTTGTCGGCATCTAACTGGTGGAATACGTCTACCACGATTGCGATTCCGTGGTCCTGACCGTCAACGGCGTCGTGGCCTTGCGTCGCGTTTGTGTCTCTCAGGCGGGCGGTGCTATTCATCTGCGCAGAAATCTTTTTCGAATGGCGGAGTGCAATTTGGAAGATCCTGGCGTATATGGCCAGGAGCAGAACGGCAACCAGCCAGACGCTTACTGTGAAGCTTCCGATAGTGCTCAGTAAAAATGCAGGGGCAGAGAAGGAGACGAGGCACAACGAAAACCCATAGTGATAAGCGATAGGGTCAACTGATTCATCGGAAATTCCTACGAAGAACGATAGGAAGGTTAATATATAGAACGCTGCTGTTACGACTGCGACAATGGCTCTCTTTTTTGTGACAAGAACTTGATAGGTCAAAGGTCGGGTGATCTGTATGTAGCGATCCAGGTTGATTAGGAGAATAAAAGAAGCGCTCGTCGCTGGAGCCAGAGTCGTAAGGAAGCCTGTGATGTCGCAGTATATGTTACCGGCCCTGGAGAGCCACTCGTAAGTAAATAACGACAAGGGACCGTTCAGGAGCATGGCGGCGGCGATAAGATCGGCTATTGAGAGGGCTGTAAGGACGACCTTGCTTGCAGCACCCATAGCCGTGTCGGGAACTCTTGGGATGACGATGATGTTGATGATATTTCCTACGATTCCAGTAAGAGCCACTAAGGTCACAAATACTGCTCTAACCACCGTGAGAATAAATACCGCTTGCTTGTCATCGACCGAGCTGGAGCTGCTTGATGCATTGAAGCTCTCCATTATGCTTTCTTTAATCAAAGAGATGTTTTAACTAATTCACTCCACTTTCTAGAAGAGTGGTGTCGCTCAGTTTTCATTTCTCGCACAAACTATAATCGTATCATCGTATTATCTAAAGACACTTGTTTCAAATTATAAATCTCATTCACTCTGTTGACTTATAGTTTAGACAATGAATTAACACATCACTGCCACTGGGCCTATAGTCTAGGTAGCATATGGAAATCTCTGGAAATAGGTCTATGGATATGGCGTACGTGACTCAGCAATTTTCAACATTTTGGTCAACACAATTAAAAAGTAATAGCCGTCAATTTCATTCCCATTCCGGTCAGATTTATGAAAGGCATTAATTTGCCACGTGTTCTATATACAAGACTTTTGTTCATATCGATATTGCGGCACGAACAGCACTTACTTTGATTGAAACATTTCAGTGGAACCCATCTATATTTGAGATGGAAGAAAATGAGCACTGGAATACAACTAAAAGTTGATAATACATCCTTGCCTTTCCACACTCACTTTCATTTTTAAGTCATTGAACATCCCCCCCCCCCTTCCCAATTTTGAATTACTGATCATTGCATTGCAGCTAAGTTAAATGAAAATAAAGTGCTAATAGGAAATATATTTACTCTATTATTCTCTACAAAGTGCCTCTAAAGGCAATTACCCGTCTTTATGGAGGGCAGAACGTTCATCGAATTCTACGAGGAGGGTTGGCGTGGGGTCTCCGCAATTACGAGGACCGAGGAGATAATCAGGAGGTGGTAATTGAAACTACCCTTTTTCTTGAACAGGAAGAAGTTCTCTCAGCGTATGGCCATTAACAAAACTGCCCTGTTTTCATGGTATTCAGTTGAATCTATCAATAAATGAATGGAATTATTACCGTGAAAATCATTTTAATTAAACGACATGGTCTTTTTATGGTGCTCGTGCCCGATATTTATACAATATTATTTTCTCACCTATTTAGAACAGGGTCCTTCAAACCATTAATGGAGTTTCGGCAGCAACCAATCGTTAAAGCGGAGTGGGGTTTGTGTCAATTTCTGCTCGTCAGCGGCATTACATATTGGGTGCAAATAAGGCTATAATGGCCTTGAAAGGGTGACAAATATAGAGTGAAATATTTATACAAATATGAATTTATTTTCACAATCGTTACTGCTTCGATGTGTCTCATAAAATATTTGTACATCTAGATGCTGAACAGGCGTTGATGATTATTACCATAGAACTTTAGATATAGTGACCACAGAAAATGTCGTCCTGACACCAAATCTTTCTTTCTTTATGTAATCTTTTTTTAGCATTATATAGGGCCTCGATGAAAAGACAGATTCCGCTAAATTTCTTTAAGAAAGGGGCTATACAGATCGCAATACTTTAAACCTCTAGCCCCTCTCTCCCTCTCTATTTCGCCCCCCCCCCCTCCCTGAGTAGGAAGCATTTGCAACCTTTAGAACCACATTAGGCGCATTTTCAGGCACTTCCTGGAGTAATATGACGTACAGTTGCTTTTTCCTACCCCCTCCAAGAGTAGGGATCTTTTGCAATTTGAGAACCACATTTGGCGCATTAATGTCCACCGGCACTTCATGGAAAAACGAGGCCTTCTGATTGGTTAGAAGTTAATAAGAGAAACTGTCACGTCGTGATACGTTGTATATGCTTCGTTGCTGCACTATGCACAAAGACGGAGGTCTGGTACTTCACCAGCAGTACTTGCATAGATTATCTCGAGTGTATAAACTGTGTTGTTATCAGGGGCGTCGCTAGACCTTTTTCAGTGGGGGGTGTATAGACAGTGGCGGATCCAGGGGGAGCCCGGGGGCCCGGCCCCCTTGAATTTTAACCCTATAAACCCGGGCCCAGGAACTACAAGTTATTTTTCAGTCCCCCCCCCCCTGTTATGAATAGCGACCCTCTTCTCCTTTTATGAATAGCGACCCCCTACTCATATTATGAATAGCGACCCTCATTTCGTATTATGAATAGCGACCCTCTTTCTGTGTTATGAATACCGACCCTTTTGTAATATTATGAATAGGAACCCTTATGAATAATAACCCTTATGAATAATGACCCTTTTCTCCCTTTTTCCTTTTCCCCCTCCCCCCTTTTTTATTAACGGGGTGGGGGCACGTGTCCCCTGTCCCCCCTGAATCCGCCACTGAGAATGATTTCAAATAGTACATAAAACTCTCACAGGTTTCATTTGTCGTGTTATTTGGTCTGATCCGAGCTCTAGTTGAAAGGTTCATTGGGTAGGATATACACTCACAACTTGATCATGGTGTCGTTAACATAATTATCGGACAATACCCTGGACTTTCCCTACCGGCCGTTAATACAAGTAATCTTTCATTGTAAAAAGGATAAACAAAGACTAGGTACCAATTAGGCAGATTTGAGTAATAATCTTTTTAGAACGTTACCAATTTTCTATGATTTGGTTGAAACTGCTTCGATTTTTTTTTTCAAGGCTTGTTCGGCCGGGTGTTCAGTCAGTAGGGCGCTTTAGCAACGCGACGGAAGGCAAAGAGGAGGGGGAAAATCACTCAACCGAGATCGTCCTGTACTATGCTCCCGTCTTCATATGTAACCTGTATTATAGAGTGCTTTTGCAAACACGACGGAAGGCAGGACGAGGGTAACCAAGCAAATAATCAATCTGCGCATGTGCGAACCAGAAGTGTCTCCGTCTTGTTAATTTTCACGACCGTTCTCAGCCATAATAGCGTTCGTTCCGTCAGGCGCGGATCCGGGATTTCTTAGGGGTGGGGGCCCAAATTTGAAATTAAGTGTGCTGAAATTTAGTGTGCCGGCCAATATTTCGCTCAGGGGTTTTATACATCATATTATCGTCAGATGAGCATAATTTTATACCTTATTTGTGACACTGGCAGGTCTGGAATTGGTGTGGGGTCCAGGGGGCGGAGTCCCCGGAAGCTCAGGGCTTTTTTTCCCTTCTTTTTTCGTCCTTTTTTTTGTCCTTCTTTTTTTTCCCCTTTTTTTCCTTCTTCCCCCCCCCCCCTTTTTTTTCCCTTCTTTTTTTTCCCAGGGGGGGGGGGGGGGCGGGCCCCCGGCCCCCTGGATCCGTCACTGCGTTTCCTAAACTCGACGGAAGAGTTGTATCGCCGTACAATAGACCATTTTCGTAATGTAACCAAATGTAATGAATAAGTCTTTGTGAAGTGCCTCAATACAAATTATTCCGTTCACCTGATAAGAATAAAGTATTTCAATAGACAGAATCCGAACTGAATCCATTATTTATCTCGGTTGAGTGAATTCCCCCGTCCTCTTTGCGTTCCGCCGCGTTGCTAAAGCGCACGGGTACGACAATGCCAAAGCTGACGAGGACAATGCCCACCTCCATCATGACAAAGCCGTCTTTCAGAGAGCTCGCGGTCGACATACCAAGATCAGAATGGAATCTAAAGCTACTGTTGAAGATGACAATTTTATCAATTGACTCTAAAATGTCCAGCGTTCATGTCCAGTTCGAGCATCTCTGATTTACATACCAACAATCTTTACAGATCTGGGAGCTTGTCTTGGTACGGCGCACATCAACCCTATATGGCTCAGACTTGCTGTCTACGTGTTTGATTTTGGTAATGTCTACCGAAAATGAATGTTTTGATAACGAGGATTTGTATCAATGCGATAGTCCTCTTATGATATATGACTACAGTTTTATGGTATGTATATTTTATGAAACATTTCGTATACTGTATTTGTACATTTTTATCCAATAGATTGCCACCTAAATGTGTCAGTTCTATGTATTTTGTGTTTCGTGCCTAATTACAAATTTTATTAACGATTGCTGTCATATTTGTCGTATTTGTCGAGTTTTGACATATGATACAGCACGCCCAGTCAGATTTCTAAATTTTAACTATTTGTATTGCTTTGTCGATGTTAGTGTTGTTAATTTCTGGCTGGGAGATGGTGACCTGTGAATGATGAACCTACCGGGCCGTGCCCCTTAAACTGTAGGTAAACGGCACGCCCAGTCAGATTTCTAATTTTCTGTATTATTTGTATATTGCTTAGTCGATGTAAGTGTGGTTAATCCCTCGCTGGGAGATGGTGACCTGTGAATGATGACCCTACCGGCCCTGCCCCTTAAATTGTAGGTGAACGGCACGCCCAGTCAAATTTTTAAAATGTAATTATTTGTATTGCTTAGTCGATGTTAGTGTTGTTTATTTCTGGCTGGGAGATGGTGACCTGTGAATGATGAACCTACCGGGCCTGCCCCTTAAATTGTAGGTAAACGGCACGCCCAGTTAGGTTTCTAAATTTTAACTATTTGTATTGCTTAGTCGATGGTAGTGTTGTGAATTTCTGGTTGAGAGATGGTGACCTGTCAATGACGAACCTACCGAGCCCTGCCCCTTAAACTGTAGGTGAACGGCACGCCCAGTCATATTTCTAAATTTTAATTATTTGTATAACTTAGTCGATGTTAGTGTTGTTAATTCCTGGCTGGGAGATGGTGACCTGTGAATGATGAACCTACCGGGCCTGCCCCTTAAATTGTAGGTAAACGGCACGCCCAGTCAGATTCCTAAATTTTAACTATTTGTAACTATTTGTATTGCTTAGTCGATGTTCGTGTTGTTAAATCCTGGCTGGGAGATGGCGACATGTGAATGATGAAACTACCGGGCCCTGCCCCTTAAACTGTAGGTGAACGGCACGCCCAGTCATATTTCTAAATTTTAATTATTTGTATTGCTTAGTCGATGTTAGTGTTGTTAATTTCTGGCTGGGAGATGGTGACCTGTGAATGATGAACCTACCGGGCCTGCCCCTTAAATTGTAGGTAAACGGCACGCCCAGTTAGGTTTCTAAATTTTAACTATTTGTATTGCTTAGTCGATGGTAGTGTTGTGAATTTCTGGCTGGGAGATGGTGACCTGTGAATGATGAACCTACCGGGCCTGCCCCTTAAATTGTAGGTAAACGGCACGCCC